GCTGCTGTATAAGTATCTTGCTTACTTGAACTACCCCTGTTCTACCAACATCCACGAAGACTTTGGTGAGGAGTTCCGCCAGTGCACTCTTTCCCCGTATCTATAATCAAATTTTTAAAAACACTCGAGCAGCTTTTTTCTTGCATTAAGAGTTGAGGTAGCAAAATACAGGCTTTCCAAAATCAATAAATTGAGCTTTTTTAGAACATACCGTATCCCACGGCACATTGAGAAATGATTGGTCGCTCTCTGGCCTGCTGGACACTTCCGCCTCAAACTCGTCCAAGGCTGATCGCATTATCCGTTCCTAACATCAGGTGGACTTGAATGTTCAAAAAACTTTATGGTAAAGAAGCAGGTTTCAGTTTAGTACCTGCTCAGCGAAATAACCTCTTTGGGTCTGGAGCGAATCGATGGCAAGCGCCAATTTTTTACTCAAAAACTAGAAAAAAAGTGATGTACTTCTTAAAACATACCCCAAGTTATTGACGATCTTTGGAACCTTTAAAGATAACCATAAACAAATATTACCTGGAAGGACTCCACAAGATGAGAATCAACACTGGCAGGAAGTACAAATACGATTGAAAAGATCGTTGATGATCCTTCCGATGCTCTCGTTAGCTGAACAAAAACATTTGATAAAGCTGATCAAGATAAATAGCTACCGTCATGCTATTATTCGACATGCTGTCTTAAAGGCAGTACCCGGGCAAAAGTTGATGAGTTCTCATCACATAATGATGTTGATTCCCTGCCTGCTATTTCCCATATCCAGGGATGACCCGCCATGGTAAGCCAAACAATCGCTCCACGAGTCAACCTTGCCCTGCCCACTTAATGATTTCCTCCTCATGCAGCGTCCGTGTTTGGCACCTCTCAAAAGCGCTGCTTTTGAGCGAGAAAGACATGCGGACATTCCAAAAAACGTCAAAAACCTGAAGCCGCCCCTGTCCCTCGTCAGTCCAAAGAAAGCTCGGAATCTTTGTTTTTTTGACAATTTTACGGTAACTCAAGTTGATATCGTTTTTATTGCACCGAAATAGTTCAGAATAGGTGGGAACGAAGTCGGAATTTGCTCAGACACTGCCTTTAACAGGCCATACGAACACCCCTCCCTCGCTCACCTTCTTTGGGTGACCTGCGAATCGTACATTGTCCACTTTTAGCTCAAAAGGCGCATCAACTACAGAGTCTTTGACGCTGAGGATGT